GGATGACCTTGACCTCTGACCTTGACCTTAATATCAAGAACAAAAATGCAAAAATCCATTTCAGTTGGTCCCATGTCTCTACATTTGAGTGTTAAAATTTTTTCAAGTTTACGTAAACAGCAAAAAAAACTTCAGGGGCAATAACTTGTATAAGGCTTCGATGAATCCTTTCGCAATGATAGATTGAAAAGCCCTCTCAATTAGTGAAAAGCATTGGTGATGGTTCTGTATCTCTACGGTTTGTAGTTTCAGAGGAGTAGCGATAACAAGCTTTTCTTGCGAAAGGGGCAATAACTTCATTAAATGTCATCGCTCGAAGTCGTTGGGTCAAATCTGAAAATCATTTAAGTAGTCGACTAATATGAAAGATGCGTCTCTTCGATAAGTTGCGAAACAAAAAATCAGCGGAAGAAAAATAATAATAAGAATAATAAGAATAATAATAATAAACAGAAGAAAATCAATAGGACTTTCCACAGAAAGGTGGAAAGCCCTAATAATAAGAAACAGTAGAATCACTATAGGTCTTCCGTTGAAAACGGAAGACCTAATAAGAAACAATAGAATCACTATAAGGTCTTCCGTGAAGACGAAAGACCTTAATCATAAAGTTACGCACTTGATAGCTAAATCAGAAGTGAACAAAAAATGAAAATGAGGAAAGAATGCAAAAAAAAAGGATTTGCACCGAAAGTTAAATGACAATAATGTCAATTTTGCACTCGATTTCTAGAAAGGTCGAAGGAAGTGTGTATAGATATAAGGATTGTTTATACCGTACTCCCCTGAAGAAGAACGTAATAATTAGATTCCATTTACAATATCCTTTCTCAGTTACAAGTATGCAGCTAGAAACTTCATTCATCTCACTAGTTGTATCTCTATAGTACAATATAGGCTCTGAAAAGTATATAATAAACAAAAACGGAAGAAAATTATACTGCCTTGCCAAAGTAAAAAGAAAACGTAGCAAAATCTTCCGTTGCTTCTTCTTAAACAATTTTTATCCTTAAGAATTTACCACTGAAATCGAAAGCATTTAACTTCGCGTACAAAATCAATGGATACCATGCTTACCTTGGTGATTTTTGTTATCACTATCTGATGTCGAATGCAAGAAGAATGTCATTGGGAAAAACTAATCTGACTGCTTCTTAGCCAATGCTCCCGGCACTAGAAGTGAAAATAACGGGTCTATCGGATGAGGTCTTAAAAACCGAGGTCCCGTGTCAAGGCAGGTGGTTTCACGATAGAGAATACTTAATGATCAGTGGCCCAAATACAGGCCTGAATTTGATGCCCTTCTTCAGAATATGGTGACGTCTTAAAGAGAGCAAAAAATTCTCAGATGGGACGTAAAACAACAAACAATCAATCTTTCAATTACATTATATCAATCTGCCCGGAAAGAAACCCAGTACTTTATATATATAAAGTTGAATATCTGTAAAAAAAAATAATAATAATAATAATAATAATAAAAATAGGTTTTGTTAGGTTTGATGGAAACTGGTCAAGAGGAGTGTTTCCATAAATAATTGAATTTATCTAAAAAGCGTCATTTTACATGTACAATGCAAGGTACATAGTCGTACAATGATTAAAAAAAAGTTAAGCGAAGGTGTGCAACCGCGATTGGTTCAGAAAAATACGAAACCAGTGGACCTTTCTAATTCTCTTTACTGTATATGAGCTATGATAAGTTAAAAAAAAATCTTACATTTCTATACATTAGAAGATATTGTGAATAATCTTTTTTAAAAAAAAAAATCATCAAAGAAATTACAGAGTTGTAAAATTTTAATCTAAGTCATAAGAATTTTTTTCCTTAAAAAAGGCCTACTGAATTGCATGCTTGTATTCAGTAAATGTGCTGAATGAAGGAAAATATCTGCAAATTAGGTGTATTTAAAGCGTGCAAAATGCCAGTAGTGTCAAGTACATAAAAATCATACTCAATTTCTGAACAAAGAATTTGAAGCAAAGTTTTAATTATTGAAAGGTATAAAACTGCGACAAACGAAACTTTTCTGTGGAAAAATTCTCTCGGTAAAATTATTCTATGGTAAAAAAAAAAAAAAAAGAAAAAAGAAATGAATTCCTTGGGGTTTGAACACAAGCTACAAAAATATTTTTCATAGAGATTGACAGAGTAACCAATACAGGGTACGACTTACAGCAGATAGTTGTGTTTAAATAGTGTTTGTAATTAGACATTTGAATAACTGGACTTTAATATTTCTCGGAAAGATACGAATTTTGTTTCATAGAGATATTTTAAGGTAGCATGGGTCATTGCTCCATATTTCTGTTGAGCAAAAAATGTATATTTCTTAACATACTTCGAAGATATACATATTTAAAAAGAAATGGAATGAAGACGGGTATCATATGAGTATTATGATTCATTTATCTTTTTTTCTGCCATTTTTGGTGCATGCCTGCTATTACATAGTAATATACAACAAAATTCCGATGTCAAAAGTCACTAGGACTTCAGATTATAAAGCCTTTTTAACCAAGATTGTTTCCTTGGTTTCCTTGAAATTGAATTTTTTAATGGGCTATTTGAAGAAGCTAAAGCAACTTGGATTCTTCAACTGCAGAATAACAACCGTGTGTTTATGATTATGGATGTTGCCAGCACAGGCCACTTAAGCCACCTTGTGTGTCGGAAGATAATAATTCTGATTCAATCCGTCAGTTCCTTAAACATAAATTTGCTCAGAAAGGAAAAATGACCTTGTGAGCAAATAAAACTTATCACTGGGTCGTATTTTGACTGAAATATGTCATACCAAATCCACCTTTGTTTTTATACATGTATTTAATTTTACTACGGGATATTCTGTCTACCTGATCGATACAAAGGTCTCACGGCGGATGTAACCGATCAACAAGGGATATATATTATATATACAAATATTAAATTATCAAAAAAAAATTGTTACGATAAAGATTTAATTTTTCGCCTTTTTAGTTTGTCGAACCATAGGCATTTTCTCGGTTTGTTCGCCCATCTCATTTCTTTTTACATCTCTTTGATCTGATCTTTATATAACTATGCCAGGACAAAGAAATTGAATATTAAACAAAATCTTTTTAATCTACAAATATAATAAGTTTTGAAAAGGCTCAAAAACTCTAAAGAGAAGTTTTTAATGATAGTTGGCCTTAAAGGAGAAACTTTAAATTTGCTATCTTCGTGTTCTCAATTGCTTTACTATTTATAGCTGTCTTTGAAAAGTATTGAATTTATTGTAATAAGAAACAAGTTCGAAGATGGTAATTATATACATGTACATTCTGGACGTTATAGCATGTAATTGATTTTTTTAAATATATTTGTTTTATCTTAATTTAATCTACTGGAATTTAATTTTTTTTTTTCTTTTGTTTCTTGTTGTTTGTTTGAAAGTAAGTTTATGTGATGATGCAACGAGTTATTCAAATTACATTTCAGGTCATGAAATCTGTACTTTTGTCTATATACGTAAATTAAAAGAGAAAATTAAATTCTACTTACTTCAAGTCTGCACAAGTGTTTAATATGTTAAAAATACGATAAATGCACGCACCAAGTATATCTATGTGGGTGGCATTTTATGGAAGCATATCCGAATTCCTCACTGATTGTGCAATAAATATTAGAGTTCAAGGCCAAAATGGAGAGGTAACATAAGTACAAAATATATGGACAGTATCTGCGCTATTCTGCTAAAAAAAGAAAAAAACAAAGTCATATTCCTATCTAACTTGGGGATAATTTTTTTTCTCATATTCTTAATTTAATATACACCTGAAGATGCCTTACATTTCAAGGTTTTTTTTTCTTTTCGTTTTTATCACAAACGCAACCACCATCGCAGTTTTCTGTATTTAAGCTGTAAATAAATCTTCTATGAGAGGGATTATCAAACGAACTTGTAAGTTTTGAAATCAAAAGAAGTTTTTAGCACATACATTTTAAACCTGTTTAATTATTTGTGAATTAGTTTATAAAAAAAGATATATGAAATACGAATATAGGGATCTAATTTAATTATTTGATTATCGAACCCATTTTTTCAACCAAGAAGTTTTCATTTGTCATTTTGTGTGTGTTTTATATGGGTTTTTTTTTATTAAGATTGTTTTACTTTATTTTTTTTTTATTTGTGTTTGTTTTCTTTTGTACAAATTGTATCCATTCAATCATAACAAACCAGTCATATGTTTTAGGTTGTGAAAGCACTCGAAAAGAATGCTCCTTCTCATTCATATTTTCACAAGACAAGGAAGTCTAGATCTCAGGTTATTTTGTTCAACTTGAAATCTCTCCTTACTAACCTTACATGCATGATAAACCTGTAATATTTGATAGACGTACCAAAGACTGATCGAAAGAAGCTGTTCCACTTACCTTATTTTTCAAAGAAAATTATATAAATACACAAACCTTATGCATCCTAGATTTTTTTTGTACATAGGAAGAGAGTATGCAGGTGGCTTCTGTGTTGTGAAATTAGAATCAGTATAACCGAAAATGCAGTTGTACGTATACGATCCAAACATCAGATTGTTGAAATAATGAGTGAAGCAAGAGGTAAAAAATTTGATTGACATTAAATGATGCAAAATCACTTTTTTTCGTTGGGTTTAATGTACTAAGTTGTTTTAGGAAAAAGATATTGGTTCGTGGATTTCTATAGTAATTTTCCATGATATATATTAAGCAAAACATATTTCTATCTTTAGTTCGAACATTTTTGTAAATTTGGTTATTATTATTATTATAATTTTTTTTTTTTTTGAAAACAAACAGATAACCAGGTTACAAGAAAATGAAGTAGAACATAATTACAAAAAATATCAAGGCAATATAAATTGATTTTATTTCGCGAAAAAGTCAATACAATTGTAAATTAATATCAGGATATTATCTCTCTATTGCTATCATCTCTCTCTCTCTCTCTCTCTCTCTCTCTCTCTCTCTCTCTCTCTCTTCAGATGTCATTAATCTAAGCAGAACGATCATCGTACTGAGAAGAGAGATTTGGGACTTTTCCCAGGTAAATATTGGCTTCAGGAAGATTGACAATAATCAGTGGGAAACCTTTCTTTCCTTTCCATTTCTTGAGTTTCGTATTAATGCCAGCAGGGAAGAGTTGTTGGACAGAACGGTAGAATGACTCCTTCGTTAAGGAATTTTCAGACTGACTGCCCCTATTGCAACTACAAAGAATGCATTATTTTAAAAATACTTACACATTTTTATTATTACATGGAAGTATTATCATGAAATAAAATTCAAAAAAGAATTTCTTGCAAGTCATGATCACAACTCGGTATATATTTTATACATCTTGTTTAGATGAAGTGTTCTAGTGAATGAGTTCTAGCACTCTTACATTACACCAACTGGAATTTTCAAAATACTTTACTTTGTTTAAATCCACATTTAACAAATGCATGTATTATAACCTTTCCTTCTTTCTGTTAATTACACCACCGTGGCAAACTTGACTTCGTGACGAATAAACTCGATTTCCACAACATTTCGGTTTTGGCAGATCCTTCACGGAAAACACAAGACCTAGAAAACACGTGTATTAAAACGTGATAACTTATGACATCGAACCTATCCAAAATAAGAAAACTTGAAGAAAAATACAAACCTTGACAACATTTCTCGCTCTTTCTGTTGAATGGACGGGCAGATTTTTCAGAATGACAGCAAAGTTGAAAAGAAGAATTGTAAAATCCATCACCGCAACATCGCGTATTTTCATTGGCAGCAATTCGTTTTCCCTTGCAGCAAATTTCTGATTTCTGGTTATAAAGTTCTGAAACAATGACATGGATAATATAAAATTCTTAACATAATGAACGACACCTACAAGGACTCTAAACATACAAATATGTATTTGGTCAAAATCTATTGATACTCTTATCAAAAATAATTTGAAAGTTTGACATCTTTTTAAAGTTTACTAACGTTCTCCACAGCAGTCTCCTGTTTTTGGTTGAACATAGGCAGAACCAGACCAGATACAGCACTGTTTAATTCGTTTATCAATCAAAGAGGAGCCACAACATTCATAATTGGAGTGATATGAAGGAACACCGTACAGAGTTGACCGGTCGCAACAGATTTGCCTTCGTTTATCATAAAATACGCCTTTGCATATATCGTATTCAATTGGAATAACTGTGTTGTTCAGGCATTTGAATAACGATGCGTTGTAGGATTTCCCATCGCAACATTCAAGACTCTGTGAGGTTCCGTTCTTTCCACACCATAGTGCCTTCGCTGAAATCAAGCAAGACATATCATCAGAGTATAGATTTTTTTTATTTGATACCAGCTGTGCTATCAGTTCCTACAGCAAGAAAGTACCTGTATTTAAAGTTGAAACTGTGCAGTTTAAAATTATTTATATGAACAGTGTCAAAAAAAAGTAAGCAATTACTTATAATTGTAGTTTCGGTGGACTTTTTCTTTAAACACACTTGAGTTTCTTAATTGTTTAATTGAGAAACTATTATTGATACTGTTTGGTCTCAAGACCATAAACTGTAAACAGACTTCAATAAAAATTCAAAATGTGTTATTCTTTGAATAATTTTGAAAATGAAACAAAATTCTCATCCTGTAATTTGATTACATTTACACTATAAACGTGCAGCTTTTAATACATGTTTGTTCAATAAAAATCAACATAGTCATTTTTTTTAACTTTCGTCTGTTCTCAGTTTATGATCTTTGAAACATATTATAATTTCAAACAAACCCAACATAATTGCAGCTATGATTAAGGTAGGGATCAAGTTTGAAATATCCCATGATTTAGCATTGTAACATTTTAATGTGGAATTCGTACTTTCCAACATTTCAACTTATAAATTACTTGGCAACAATCTACAAACAAAACCATTGCAACCGACCATCTGTAAAGTACGGGAAGTTATATTAATTTGCAAAGAGTAGAAGATTTGAAAATGAGTTAAGTGAAGTGGATGCCAGGGTTTCGATTAAAAAAAAACCCAAATGTACATTTTACCCAATATTTAAGAAATGTAATTTATTGTTTCAGGGTAATTGCATGTTAAATAATTACATGTATAATGCTTAGAAAATTGTGAGTTTTATGCAAGTATAACAGCCAGTTATGCTAATAAGTTCTAACATGATTTTTATTTTAGTAATGCAAACTAGTTTATTTTCGTAAGTTGTTTCTTTATCTAAGCAGAATCCTAGTCACAGGCGACTAGTATATTTTGTATGTTGAGATAGATCTAGTTTCAAATAGGCAGATCAAAATTAAAAAAAATATTTGAAAATTAATTCTTGTTAAAAGTAAATGAACTTTTCTTAAGTTTAATTTGCTTACAATGTCGGTCGTTTTTGTTACTTCCAACACATATTCCATGTTTCTTTGATTTTTCACGGACTTCTTCATCACAGCAAAACTCGATATCTGGATTAAATGTATGCTCTACAATATAAATCAAAGTACTGAAAGTACTGGAAAGCGCTAAGCAATGTTTGAAATTCATCAGAATTATTTTGAATTTAAATTGCCTGTTGTATTGGAAGAAGTATTATGTTGACAGTGCGACCGCGCTGGGGCGAGCACAGTTCTTCGATACGTACATATTCACTTTAAAATAAAACTTATGTCCGCCTTTTCAAACCGCAAGGGGAAACATTTGAAGGTTCGAGATTCTCCGTTTCTTTAAAAAAAATATATATATAAAAATTAAATAACAGATGTTTAGTCCAAACAGTAAGGTATTTCTCAAACCTAATAAAAAAAAAAAGAAAGAAACGAAAAAAAAAGAACATGTAAAAATATTTTCGTTCTCCATCGCCTTATAGGAGACTATAAGAGGTATGTTTGCTTTTTTTGTTTGTTTGTTTGTTTGTATGTTGTTTAACGTCCCTCTCGAGAATTTTTCACTCATATGGAGACGCCACCACTTGCCATTGGAGAGCTGCAAATTTTGTCCTATACTCGGCTCTTACGGCCATTGAGCAGTGAGGGATCTTTTTCGTGCCAGCACCTACTGCGACACGGGACCTCGGTTTATAAGGTCTCATCCGAAGAACCGGTCTCCACGTCCCACAGTGGGATTCGAACCCGCGACGTAAGGATCAACTCCTTTCTCCGCGACTCTAGAGCAGACGCTCTAACCACTGCGCCACGCGGGCGACGAGGTAGGTTTGCGTATGAAATATATGGAGATAACGAACAGTATTCAAGCTCAAAAGTCCATTAATCAATACAAAATAGATGCAGAGCAAACACGGACCTCCAAACATCAGAGGTGGGATCAGGTGCCATGGAGGAGTGAGCATCCCCTGCCGACCGGTCACACCCGCCGTGGCGTGTGCTCCTTGTCTTGATCGGGAAATAACGGAAAAATCCGTCGACAATTCAGTGTGTAAATAACGGCCTAACAATTAGTGTGAAAAACGTCAGTCAGCATTTGATTCAATGATAAATTGTATTTGCTGACAAGGTCATTGTATCGACCATAGAACTTACGAAATGATGACTTTAAACGAGACAGCTGATATTCTTGTTTCATCAACTTATTTGTCAATAATTTACCTCGTTTTAGAAATTGTACATACGTAGAGCATGCTCTTGCGTATCGAATCAACTGAGAGATATATACCCCGTATGCAGGTGATGAACTTCAAGGTATATTGCTGCATAAGTAAGGGAAGTTGACGATTGAAAAGTTAAAGTCATCACGTTTATCATAAAGCTTGGTTGTTAGATTACCATTAACGTCTTTTTCAAGTAAAATATCCAAAAATGAAACAGATGTGTCAGACTCTGTGGTATCTTTTATCTCAAGTTCACAAGGATATATCGTATCGACATGAGAATGGAAATAGCCATTGTTAATTGACAATACGTAGTCGATATATCTAAATGTCGAGTTGAAGGCCACAGCAAGTGTTTTCTTCTTTTCACGTACAAGATTTTGGACAAATTCTGCTTCATATGAATACAAAAAACGGTCTGCTAATAACGGGGCGCAATTGGTACCCATGGGAATTCCAATAGATTGTTGGAAGACCTGGTCTCCAAAAACCACATAGATATTGTCAATCAGAAACTCAAGCATCTTTTTAATGTCAACTTCAGAGTACTTGCGTGAACAATCAGAATGTTTTTTGACAAAATAATTTTAAATCGCAATTCATTGGAGGGAGGGGGGGGGGGTTGACTATATATGTAGCTATACATTTGCTGGAAAATATATATTTTAAAATAATTTTAAACACTTGAAAATGTCGCTGATATTCCTCTCATTAATGTGCAACACTGATAGCTAAAATGTTCTGGTGATAATTTTTAATAATTCATTCCGTGTTTACGAGTGTTTCAAATTGAAGATTGGCTGTTTGTGATTGTGAATTAATTTTAGAAAGTGCTCCTAAAAAATAAAAATGTTAATTTTTATTGCGTCGATAAAATATTTCCTTATTGATAACATATTTATTAAAGTTATGAATTAAAGATCTCAAAAATATCGAATGCTAGTATTCTCACTTAATTGTTTTAGTATACCTCTTTTTTTTCATATTCATGAGCGATTTTTAAACTTACGAATCTATAGAAAGGATTTTGCAGGAAATTCATTAATGGAGTGTGTAAGATATTTACACAATCGCTACGAGCGTCCGGTATTTATTAGTGATAAATAAGACTTAGACTATATATTTCATTTTGTTTTGAATATGCTACACTGTGCATTATACATTTATACATTAGTTTTCCTATCTAAGTGGATTCTTTGAAAACACAGCCACCACTTTCCCTACGTGTACGTACAGCCGCAAACTGCCTTTCTTTGCGAATTATTTACATCATATTTTTTACCCATATTACAAGTATAGAATACAACACAAGTAAAAACAGTTCATGAATGCATTCCAGTCTGTTACTAATTGATACCGAGATGACAAAATCAACTTCATTGATAGCTCTCTGCATGGTGCAAGGGTGATAATAGGAAGACTTGTTTTTAGTTATATTGTCTGAAATAAGGATCTAGAAGAAGAAATAGTAGTTAATATGGATATAAATTATATAGAACGTACATATGTAGGTACATTGTAAATCAATTTTATGCGAAATTTTCTACTAAATAACTTAATTCCAATTTGAGTTTTAAATACTTATTAAAATCCCATTTGAGTTTTAAAAATATGTACTTATTCAATCTTTACATTATATGTACATGACATATAATTAACCTTTTTTTTAGGTATTTGCGCCATAGATGCAGCAGTTGTTAGCTACATGGTACACAAGATTTTAAATGAACTACAATGTATAGAGATAAGAACCGCCCCTGTCTACTAACAGTGGATTTTCGTACAATGTACATGCATACTCTTTACCTTACTAATTGACTCCTATTATTAGAACTGCACGTAACGCATTATTACACTAAAATAGCCGAAAGAGCGTCGGGGATTTCCAGTTGCATATTTTTAGAAAACCCAGTGGAGTTATCCAACTTGCTTAGTGGAGCTGGATCGCGAACGGAAGTAGATTTAAGATGACAGAAAGCGCTTTGCGCTTAATAAAATGAAACAGCATAGTTGCGCTCATGTATGAAAAGGAAATACAAGTTTTCATTTCTCAAATTTATTCGAAGAGGGTTTCTTCAAAAGCTCCTATTATTATGTAAATGTAATAGAGAGAAGGAGAGATTTACTATGTGTTATACAATAGAAGTTGAAAAATCTGTGGGTCAGGAAAACAGGTAAGTATAATACCTTTCCTTTTTGCAAAATAGGTTTTAATCATGCAACTAAAATTGGTCAAAACAAATAGTCTCATTTCATTAAGTTATTTTTTTTTCTCAGTTTTGCAAAATATTTATCAACCCCGTAGTGCTGTGAGTCAACGTTCATCCGACGTATTTTTTTCCTTTGAAATAAAATTGACTAGTCATTATTTGGAATTCATGAGTAATAACTAGTTTAAGAAATATGCTTGTTAAACTAAAATATATTGTATCTTGTATGTTCTCCTTTATTTCGTTTGAAAACCACGCTCGTTTATCAATACTCTAACGTTAAGCAAGCCACCTGGAAAGATTTCTTAAGCACTGGGTTTTCCATCAGTGAGACAAGCAATGCCGTGATTATCAGTAATACAATATTTAGCGTACTTAACCCTACTTTATATGTTTATACAGATATATATATAAATAATAAAAATCATTTTTTTTCTTTCTTATTATGGAAATTAACGTTGCAGCTATTGCAGGAAAAAAAATCACACAACCCACTCCCGCGGATTATGATTTCTTCTTTTTTTTTTCTGCAACAGCTGCAACATTAATTCCTATACTAAGAACCAAAGAAAGCATTTTATTAAATTTACCCAGAAAGGCTAAGATAATTTTGCACTAAAAGATACCTTTAAGACAAAAGTAAATATATATGTATGAATTATTTCATGAACAAGAAGAAATATTATAATCCTTGCCTCCACAGCATTCCATCTTTACGCCCAAATGATATCTATCGTGCACTCCTGACTTTGGACAGCAAATCTGCATAGAATTATTGAAGTTCTGTTCTAAAACTTTTTCATTCTTCGTATATACACAACGTGTATAGTTGATCACTATAATTCAAAATTTATATAAATTATTAAAGCAGTCCTGTGCTGGTTTGTACATTTATTTTATTTTTTTTTAGTGCGGCATTATTCTAAAACTAATGCGTACGTATATTGTTTTGGATACATTTTATGTTCAACAATGAAAAGACTATAAACGATTATTAAATGTCAACAGACAGACACAAGAAAACAGTGACTTAGCTAAATATCCGCTGTTTTTAGTGCAAGGGTATATAAACAAGTGACCCAAAATTCATTTAAACATTTCTGAAAAGCTACACATTGACTTATTTACTTACCGTAGCCAGAAGATTCTTTAGAAATAAATACAAAGGACAACAGTACAAGAAAAAATTTGAATTCCATTTTTCTCGATGGATTTTCTAGTAATAATGAGCAATCTTGCTTGATTAGGTATTTATAATGTCTTATGATGACGTAGATGATACATGGCGGATTATTGAGATAATAATCTGGATTTATTTATAACTTTTTCATCGGGAAAACCTCATCCCTCCTGAGATTCAAATGTATATTGTGTATATGTTTTGTTTTGATAAAAAAACACGAGTGTCATTTCATACTTCAAAAAATATACCAATTGATCTTTACTGTAATGTCATTATGTAATGACAATTCTATGACGCGCTGAGATGGTATTTGAAGCAGTATTAAAGGTCATACAGGTGTTCTATTGTTTATTTTTAAAATAGACATATTATCTTTCTCCTAATGTATATTTCTTCAACCTTCTTTTATACAATATAGCAGGTGTTAGTTGTCAAGCGATTGCAACTTAACTGCATGGATCAATTATGCTAAATGAAATTATTTTT